TTGTATTTTATTTAGAGACAGGGTCTCACTGAGTTGCTTAGCACCTCACTTTTGTTGAGGCTGGCTTTAAACTTGCAATCCTCCTGCCTCAGCCTCCCAAGCCACTAGGATTACAGGTATGCACCACCACACCCGGCCCATTTTATTTTTATTTTGAGACAGGGGTCTCACTAAGTTGCCAAAGCTGGCCTTGAACTTGAGATCCTCCTGCTTCAGCCTGTGTGCTACCATGGCCTGCTAGCCATTTTTTTTTTCATAACAAGAATGCTACGGGCTGGGGATGTGGCTCAAGCGGTAGCGCGCTTGCCTGGCATGCGTGCGGCCCAGGTTCGATCCTCAGCACCACATACCAACAAAGATGTTGTGTCCGCCGAGAACTAAAAAATAAATATTAAAAATTCTCTCTCTCTATCTCTCTCTCTCCTCTCTCACTCTCTCTTTAAAAAAAAAAAAAAAAAAGAATGCTACCAATTTCCTTCTGAGCCACAATAATTTCTCTTGCTATTTCTTCTTTGATCTGTGAATTACTTGAAAGTTTGTCTAGCCAGATGTGTAGCACACACCTATAATCTCAGCTACTCAGGAGACTGAGGCAAGAGGATCACAAGTTCAAGGCAAGTCTGAGCAAGTTTATAAGACTCTGTTTTTTGTTTGTTTTTAAAATTTTTTTTAGTTGTAGATGGACACAATGCCTTTATTTTATTTGCTTATTTTTAGTGGTGCCGAGGATCGAACCCAATGCCTCATGCATGCTAGGCAAGCTTCCTACCACTGAGCCACAAACCCAGCCCCAAAGAACCTGTCTTAACATAAAAACAATTGAAAAATAATATTTAAAAAAAGAAAAGTTAGCCCAGCGAGGCATGGTGGCATGCAGCTATAATCACAGCACTTAGGAAGCTGAGGCAGGAGGATTCCTTATGCAACCTCTCAGAAAAAAAATTTTTTTTTTGTTCAATATTTGAGGTTTTCCTAGATATCTAATGGTTATTAAATGTCTAATTTATTTCTCTTGTGATCAGAGAGCATGCCATCAGGGTCTTTCACATTCATCTTTCAGTAATGATGTGAAGCTTTTTTTTTTTTTTTTTTTTTTTTGGATCAGGGATTGAACACAGATTGCATAACCACCAAGCCACATCCCATGCCTAGCCCTTATTTTATATGAGACAGGGTCTCACTATGTTACTGAGGCTGGCCTTGAACTTGTGATCCTTCTTTTTCCCTCCTCACCCCCCCCCCCTTTTTTTTTTTTTTTTTTGCAGTGCTGGGATTGGATTGAATCCAGGGCTTTCCACTTGATCTGCAAGCACTCTATCACTGAGCCACATCCTCAGCCCTTCTGTTGGCTTTTAGTTGTGCTTCTTTACATTGCTTTTTTTGGATGTTCTAAGGATTGCAATGTATATCCTTCACTTCACAGCCTCCTTAGAATTAGTCTTGTACCAATTCACATATCACATGGAAACATAAGCCCATAGATCCAGTTGTTACCCACTCTTCCTTGAGCAAAGACACATTCCATGTGGCAGGGCTGTGCCTGGCTGCCTTTGTTTAAAATCCATCAGTCAGGGTTGTTGAGTTTTTGCTTTAAGCAGTTACATGTATTTTACACATTCTAAGAAAAACTAGCCAGGTGCAGTGGTGCACGCCTGTAATGCCAGTGGCTTGGGAGGCTGAAGCAGGAAAATCATGAGTTCAAAGCCAGCCTGAGCAACTTAGTGAGGCCCTAAGCAACTTAGTGAGATCCTGTCTCAAAATCAAATATAAAATAAGGATGGGGAGATTTGGGGTTGTGGCTCAGTGGTAGATCGCTCGCCTAGCACATGTAAGGCCCTGGGTTCAATCCTCAACACCACATAAAAATAAATAAAATAAAGTCATCGTGTTCATCTACAACTAAAAGAATTAAAAAAAAAAAAAAGGATGGGGATGTGGCTCAATGGTTAAGTGTTTAATTCCAAAAAAAGGAAAAAATAATTTTTATATCTCCCTGTATTTAACATTTCCATTGAGAACTGAGTTTCTCTTGTCTGAAATAAGAGAGAGGAAATACTCTCAGCTAGAAGACTTTCTTTAGAATTCTTTACAGTGCAGGTCTGCTGGTGATAGTGTTCTTTCATCTGAAAAGGTAGCTTTGGGAGTTGTGGTGAGCCCTCCATGGTGGTGGCTCTGATAGACTGGCAGCCAGCCCTGTAGGTGGCCAACTGGGTGCAGCTGCTGCTTAGGTGGAAGGTCCCTTTTTTTTTGGTGGTGCTGGGAATTGAACCCATGGCTTTGTGCTATGCACGTGAGGCAAGCACTGTACCAACTGAGCTATATCCCCAGCCTCAAGGAGCCAGCCTTTTTGAGGGACAAGTCTTTCATGCAGAGAAAACAAAGACAGCAACCAAAGGATGTCCTTGGAGGGTCATCTACAGCAAGGGACCATACCACAATTACTAACAATACTGAGTACTTTACATACCTTATTTAATCTTCAAAATAACTTCATGAGGTCAGTACTGTTGCCTTCTCCATATTAAGCAGTGGGTAAGGACCAGAAAAACTGAGGTACTTTATCCAAGTTCAAGCCAGGAATTGCACCCAGCTGTGGCCTGCTTAGCCACATCTAGAACTGCCTGCAGGAATTAGAACAGTCTTTAAGGCAGCTCTGGCCAGAGATGAACCACTGTCTTTTTTTCCTAGGTGTACAAAAGAGCCAAGGCACTGGACCAGTCTGACAACGACATGTCTGCCGTGTACCGGGCCTACATACACTAAGCCGTTGGCACCCCACCCCTCCCGTCTTCCCACTGGCCCCTCTTCCTGATGTGGGGCCAGGGTCCCAGGACGTGGCTCTGGACCAGTCCACCTGTCTCCATTTCCTTTTATACAGACTCTGAGACTTGCCGTCAGCACAGCACACAGCAGCACCCTCCCCTGTGGCCCTGGGGAGGGAGGGGTGTCAGCAGGGTTGGCTCGTGAGGAAGCTGTTGTGCTGGACACGGGCCCCAGACTAGGAGGCGTGTGTTCTCACACGTGTGCTCATGTACACACACACACACACACACACACACACACACACACACACACACGTGCACACACTGGCTCTCACCCCAGGATAGAAACTGCCCAGAAACTGCTGCCTGGCTTTTTTCTTCTTCCAAGCTTGTCTTATCTCAGACCCTTTCCAGTTGAGGAACTAGAATCAACAGTGAGAGTTGGAAGCCTTCCCACAGCTTCCCCAGAAGAGAGGCTTACGTGTCCCCCGCTGGACCCCTGCAGGAAAAGGCTCTGGGCCAAGATGAACCAGCAGAGAGACTCCTGATGGAGGCTCCCACGGGCCCTCCAGCCGCAGGTGACCAGCTGAGGAGGATTTTCACGTCTAAGCTATCAGCACGCAGCTAACTCTGTCAACGCCTTTGTGGACTGAGACGAGACTGACAGTCCCACACAGCAGGCTTTGGCTCCACAAGAAGAGCAGCAAGAGGCCAGCCTGTAGGTGAGCACAGCTGCCAGGCTCCCCTCACTGCTGCTCAGCACCCGCCACAGATGCCACCATCACTCACAAGCCTCTGCCAGCCTGAGGTCCTTGACTCCCTGCAGTGGGAGCTTGCTCCTTACCAGGCTGTTTTAGTGTTTGGATTTGCATTCCAGCCCTTGGGAAGGGGGTCCTGAGGGCACCAGTGAGCAGTGAAGAGGAGGGATGGCTTCTTCCTGTTTCCGTTATGCCACAATCTCTTCACCTGGCTCTGCAGAGCCACTCTGAACCGGCCCACCTGCCCCAGCCTTCCCTGCATGCCCCACCTCTCCTTCCTCCCCTTTTCTTCCCACAGAGGTCTGTCTGTCCTGTCTTTTGGCCCAGACCCAGCCTAAACAACAATGAGCATTTTTCTTGGGCTCAGCTCTTGATAGGGAACAGGTATCTTCGTTTCAGCTAGCATCATGGTCTTGGGTGCTTCCTGGGCCCTGAGTCTGTTAGGATGGAAGAGAACTGGGTCTAATGTAGCCTGGTCTAGTAGACCGTCGGGTGGAGCTGGGGTTATCCTCAAGGCCCTGACATTTCTCCTTGGATGGGGACCAGAAGGGCTTAGAATGTTGCTCGAGAACAAGGAGAAGTCACCCAAAGGATGTCACCTTTTTCTCCCTCATGGTTTGGGTTTTCCAAAGTCACAATTTGCCCAAGGTCAGCATTTATAGTGAAGTATATGTAACTATATAAGGTGGCCACACTGGTGTGGGGTCTCTCCCCCTCACAACCTTGGCCCTTTTCCACTCTTTAGAATGGAGGACATGGGGTGGGACAGAGAAGACGCCCTGCGGTTCCGCACAGTTGTTCTTTCACACTGGGATTTTGAACTCGTCTGTCTGAACACAGCCTGTCCTAGTCCTGGAGGACACAGAGGGTGGGGTAGGGGAAGATGCTGTAATGAAACCGGTTAGTCAATGTTGTCTTAATATTGTTGACAATTCTGTATAGTTCCTTTTTATGAATATTTCTGTTTAAGCTATTTCGTCTGTTTTGAAACCCTTCCCTTTTAAGGAGAAAATGTGACACTTGTGAAAAGCTTGTAAGAAAGCCCTCCTTCCCTTTTTCCTTTAAGCCTCCTTTAAATGACAAATCTAGGTGATTAAGGTTGTGAATTTTTATTTTTGCTTTGTTTTTAATGAACATTTGTCTTTCAGAATAGGATTGTGTGATAATGTTTAAATGGCAAAAAACAAAAAAAAAAACATGATTTTGTGCAATTAACAAAGCTACTGCAAGAAAAAAATAAAACATTTCTTGGTAACAGCTGTGCCACGCTAGCCCCAGAGCTTGGGTTGGGGACCTGCCGAGTAGGGACCAGGCTTGCGGATGGCTCCGCGCTCGCGGGGGCGGCGCACAGGGCCAATGGCGAGGCCGAGCGCGGGCGGGCCGCCCGGCCGGCCAATCCCTGGCGGAGGTGGGGCGGGGCCGGCGGCCAAAACGTCCCACCCGAGTGCTGCGGTCAGCTAGGTCCCTGGAGCAGGGGACAACCGGCTTGCGCTGCAGCCGGCCTGGTTTCAGGGCGCCCGCAGGTCGCATTAGGCGGGACAGTAGTCGCCGGCCAATCGCTTATTAGGGGGCGGGGCCTTCGCCCGTTCTGCCAATCGACGCTAAGGGGCGGGGCGGGCGCTGCTGAGGGACAGACGGCGGACCGCTGCGACCGGCGCTGGGCGGCGGCGATGGCGACCGCGATGGCAGCGACCGCGGCGGAGCGAACGGTGCTGGTGAGGCGCGCGGGCGGCGGGCGGCGGGCGGCGGGCGGCGGGCCGGGCCAGGCAGTGACCCCGCGCTGTCCCGGCAGGAGGAGGAGTTCCGCTGGCTGCTGCACGCCGAGGTGCACGCCGTGCTGAGGCAGCTGCAGGACATCCTCAAGGTAAGTGCGCGCCCGCCCGCCCGCCCATCCACCTGCGGCCCTGTCCCCCGGCCTCTGCGCCCCAACCCTGCCAGGCTCTGCGACCGCCCCCTCCCACTGGGCCCCTGTCACTAGTCGTGCCGTAGCTGACAACGGGGCGCGGCGGTACTCTGACGAGGCCCCCGCCTCAGTGAACTTGGGGTCAAGCAGTCGGCACCTGATTACGCAAGCAGCCAAGTGCAGAGGTGACAAGCAAGCGCCTGGCGTTATCCCTCGGGGCTTGGGCGAAGAAGGTTTCCTTTGAAAGCAATGACATTTAATCTGAAAGCTGAAGGATCCCTGGTTCTTCCCTGCAGTGTGATCTCAGCCAAATTACTCAACCTCTTTGAGCCTCTCTTTCCTCGTCTGCCAAGGGAGATAACAGTACAGGCTTCACAGGACTATTGTGAAGATGAATAAGACATTTATCTCACAAAAATGTCCGGCGCAGTGCCTGGGCAGTACGACCCAGAACTGCCGGTTAACTACTGTCTTGTTCCACCACTGGCTTCTCACACCCCAGCACCTCAGCTCAGCTGGGGGGACCACCCTTTGTCCTGTAGGTGCTCAAGGAGTGTGGTTTGAGCAAGTCTGGGCTCCCTTGGGACTGGAAACTCAGGCTGTGTTCAGGAAGGGGCCCTGGAGCCTTGAGTAGGGCCATCTACCTCAGCTAAGCCCCAGGCTCCAGGTGAAGCCAGCCCACAATGCCCCCCTCTCATGACCTGGGGCCTGGGGGCACTCTGAAGGCATCCTGGCTGGACTTGGGTGGACTTCACCGAGGTGCTCTTTGTCCCCTGCAGGAGGCATCCCTCCGCTTCACTCTTCCAGGCTCAGGCACTGAGGGGCCTGCCAAGCAGGAGAACTTCATCCTGGGCAGCTGCAGGTGAGTTGAGGTGGGCAGACACCTGGAGGAGGGGTTCTTTAGTTGGGGGGACTCCTGGAGTACCTGGGGGCAGGAGGCCTGGTCATGGCTCTGTCCTGCAAGCTAATTTGGGTACGAAATGCACAGTATGACAGCCAGGGAGAATGCTGAACAGCAGAGGGCGGTCCACTGGGAGGGTGCCACAGTCGGGAGGACAGTGGGTACCCCCCACCCGCTGACCCCCACGTGTTGTAGCACAGACCAGGTGAAGGGTGTGCTGACTCTGCAAGGAGATGCCCTCAGCCAGGCGGTGAGTTCCTTGGGCCCCTCTCCTCTCCCATACTGTCAGTGTGGAAGAGCTGGGGGGGGCCTCCTGATTCCTTCAGCTGTCCCCCAGCCATCTGTGTGACTCTGGGCAAGACTCTTGGCCTCTTTAGGCCTGGGCTTACTTGTTTGTAAAATGACAGTACCCCCTGCACCTTCTCCTGGGATTGGCATGTGGATTCAGGGAAGGGCACTACTTTGCCCCCAGCCCTGCCTGGCGTCTGGATCCTATGAAACGTGAGCCTTGGCAGGATTAGGCTGGCCCTGGATCAAAGGTGAATCATCCAAACGTCTGAGCCTGTCTACGCCCCGCCCTGAACCAGGCACCAAGCCATGGGGGAAGGTCCCTCTCTTCAGTGGCTTCAGTCTATTGCCCTTGACAGATGCTCCCCATTGCCCCCTGTCACACAAAGGCCACATTCTCCTACAGTTCTTCCCCTTTCTCAACCTCTCTTTTCCCTTTTCCTTCTCTCTGAGTCCTCCTGGGCCTGAGTTCCTGTTTTCTGCCTCCCTGTTCAGCCCCTATGGTAAAGATGTTGAGAGACCCTTCGCCCTGTGGGGACTGAACCACCAGCTACTCCATTCCTGCCCCTAGCTCCGGGGCAAAGGGTGGCCCAAAATAGGATGTTCCTTTGCCCTGCTTATTCCACTCTTGCCCATCAGGACGTGAATCTGAAGATGCCCCGGAACAACCAGCTGCTGCACTTGGCCTTCAGAGAGGACAAGCAGTGGAAGCTGCAGCAGGTGACCCGGCCCCTGCCTGGCCAGGGCACAGGCCGCAGGGGCAAGCAGGGACAGGCCCACACGCTGGGCCTTCCTGGGGCTGGCCATGGGGATCTGTGGCCACAGCAAGTCTGGGAGGGAGTTGCCTAGCAGCGAAGCTGAGCTGGGGTGGGCGGTGCCTGAGCCCCAGGGCCTGCTCCACATAGGGAGAAAGAACCTGTCCTGCCTAGGGGCCCTCTGGCGCAGCGGGGTCAGCTGATGGTGCCCCTAAACTAGTCACTCACTCCTCCGGGAACTTCTCATGGCTCTGGGACCAAGATCACGCTTCCTATCAGGGATTAGGCCATGGGCCCAGCCTCTTTCCTGGGCTGTTTTTCTGAGGCTGGGCTGCACCTCAGTGCTTTGGCCTGTGTGTATATCTCCTGCCAGGAGCCTTCCCCCTTGGCCTTGCCTATTACATAGGCCTCAAGCCAGGAGTTGCCTCTCTAGGGGCCCCTTCTGACCCCATCCTCTGCATCCCACCTCACTGTGCTTGCCCTTCTGGGAGTTCCCCAACCTTGTCCCCTTGTGGACTTCCTCTGCAATCGTCTGTGCTTTAGAAGGTGAGCTACACAAGGGCAGAGACCTGGCCCACCTCAGGCCCAGCATGGGCCAGGGCCTTGCCCCTGAGGACTCAGCTGAGCAGATTGATGCTGTCTCCTGGGAAGTCAGGTCCCCACTGTGTGCTGGCCCAGCCTCTCCCAGAGATGCAGCTGCTCTGAAGCTGATGGCACCCAGCCCCATAACCTCTCATGGATGCTCTTCTCAGATCCAGGATGCGAGGAACCACGTGAGCCAAGCTATTTACCTCCTCGCCAACCGGGATGAGAACTACCAGTTCAAAACAGGCGCTGAAGTCCTCAAGGTGAGCTGCCCTGATCTAGTCGAGGCCCCTGGAGAGCACTGGCCCCCTGGCTCTCAGGGAGCCCTGTGCCTGTGGACCTTGGCCCATATCCTCAGGTGTAACCGAAGATGATCCTTCCCCTCTCAGTGTTCACTTATCTAGCTACCACGTAGTGGCTCACTCTCTGGGACCCAGAGTTAAGCTTTTAATTAATGACAAAGACAAAGCAAGAGATTTCCTTGTGGGAAGAGCTGACTTGAATGCTTTAGCTCTGCCTCTGACTTGCTGTGTGTCTTTGGGTGGTTCATCCACCCTTTCTGAACCTCCATGACCAACAGGCTCCATGAACATTAGAAGACATGGAAGGTGGGGCTCTTGACCTGGCCAGGGCTTTGCTCCCTGGCAAGGGAAGAAAGGGCTCACAGTGCCTCTACTGTTCACCAGCAGTATGACCTAGCTTACCCCTTTGGAGGGTTATTTTCCTCACCTGGGAAAACTCAAGATCTCAACTGAGCCTCCTCCAGGAAGCCTTCACTGGCCTCTTGCATCCAAGTGGGGTTAGCACCTCCTCTTCTCAGCTCCTTCATTGCCTATGCCCCATCCATAAAGCCTGTGCCCTGCCTCCTGTGGGCCAGTGCCCAAGATCCCCACACAGCAGATTCTGAGTGGCGGCTGTCGCCAGCCCTGCTCCTGGGCACTGGGACCACCTAGGAGGAGCAGGGCTACGACCGTTGCTCCCTGGTGCTGTTAGGGAGGGTGGGGACCAGACCAGTGGCCCTCACAGCAGCTGTGGCCACCTTCCCCAGCTCATGGACGCTGTGATGCTGCAGCTGACCCGAGCCCGCAACCGGCTCACGACCCCCGCCACCCTCACCCTGCCTGAGATTGCCGCCAGCGGCCTCACGGTCAGTGCCTCGGGCAGCCCCCACAACAAGAGAGGGGTCCCACAGACAGGTCCAGCTTGTCCCCTGGAAAGGACACAAGTGCCGACCCCAAATTGCAGGGGTCTGAATTGAGTGTCTGTGGTTTATGGGAACACAGTCGTGACTGCCACCCTGTGTCCCCACCCCATGTGTTGCTCTGCTCTGGGCCATGGTTCCAAACTCAACAGCACAGGAGGATCCCAGGGCACCTGGGAAAGTTTGAAACCCTGGTCCCAGGTGCGGGTTTGGGCTGGGTGCTGGGGGTCTAGGAGGCAGCAGGGGTGCAGCCTGGTGGGAGGGGCCTCACCCCCCTTCTTCCCCAGAGGATGTTTGCCCCCAGCCTGCCGTCGGACTTGCTGGTCAACGTCTACATCAACCTCAACAAGCTGTGCCTCACGGTGTACCAGCTGCACGCCCTGCAGCCCAACTCCACCAAGGTGAGCAGACCTTGCCTCCAGAGCGCCAGCCGGGGCCTCGCCTCGGCCTCACGGGTCCTGTGTTTCTGCCTAGAATTTCCGCCCAGCTGGAGGCTCCGTGCTCCATAGCCCCGGGGCCATGTTGTAAGTACCGGGAGGGGTCCTGGGGCGCCCCCTTGCCACCCCTCTGCCGGGGGCTGGCCAGCCCTCAGGACCCGCACCTCCTCTCCAGCGAGTGGGGCGCCCAGCGCCTGGAGGTGAGCCACGTACACAAGGTGGAGTGTGTGGTCCCCTGGCTCAATGACGCCCTGGTGTACTTCACCGTCTCCCTGCAGCTCTGCCAGCAGCTCAAGGACAAGGTGTGCGGGGGGCTGGGGGGCGAGAGGAGCAGGGCAGAGCCCCTTCTTTTGTGGGGGAGAGCATCCCGAGGGCATGTGGCACACCTGAGTGGCCCACTTTCCCACACACCTGGCAGCTGGGCCACAGTGCTGCTGGGCCCTCACTTCACACTGTGCCCTCAGGTGACCTGACTCTCACCTGGTCGTGGAGGTGGCAGCAGGGGGCTGGAGCTGAGGGGAGCCCCAGCACCCACTGACCACACACTCCCTCTGCAGATCTCCGTGTTCTCCAGCTACTGGAGCTACAGACCCTTCTGAGCAGGCTGCCCCAGGAGCCTGGCCCCCGAGAGGGTGGCTCCTGCCCAATGGAGGCCCTTCCCCATACACACTCCTCTGTGGTGCCCCTGGAGTGGGCACCTCATGCTGTTTCTCCCCCTCGCCCCACCATTTGCACACCGGGATGAACTCTGGCAGCAGGGCTGGGAAGATGGCCCAGGGTGTCCACAGCGCAGGCCCAGGGCCGCAGCTTCCTCCGGGAGATGAGAGGCAGCCCAGCCCATTTGGCAGAAGATGGCAGGAAGGAAGGAGGCTCAGCAGGTGGAAGCTGCTCGGGGAATGTGCTTAGTGCCCTGACTTCGCTCTGCCCTGCGGGCAGCCTCTACGAAATAAAGATCATCAGGCTGCCTGCAGCCCTGGTCTCTGTCTGCCTGGGGCCAGCTGGGGTTCTGGTGGTCAGTGGTTCCCACCCCATTCTCCACACCCATCTGGGGACACGTGGTCCGTCCCCTGGTTGTCCATGAGCCAAGTGGGAAGGGGATGAGCTCCGCTTGGGAGCTGAGGCCCCCTGTCAGAGACCATGAACTGGGTGACCTGGAGGAACGCTCGGGCATCCCAGGGCAGCAGGGCTAGGAACAATCAAGACACACGCTCTGGGCAGACACCAGCTTTGTTACCATCACCAGCAGGACACAAACCAAGGGAGAGGCATTAAGGTTCCAGGGCCAAGTTGTCCACTCCCTGAGGTCTCTCCTGTAAGGCAGAGGGGTGCTGTGGGCATCGCTGGGTTCCCAGCCGCCCCTCCAGGCCCTGCCCAGCCCTGGTGCAGATGCAGATCCAGGCTGCCTTCCTGGATCAGTCCTGGGAAATGGGGCCACCTAGGAGGAGGAGAGCTACAACTGCTGCCCCACTCGGGCTGCCCCCCCCCGGGATGCCCCCCCTGGGCTCACCTTCACCTTCCTGGGGGAGGAGCAGCAGCAGTGGCAGCAGCAGTGGGCAATGACCAGCAGCAGCAGGAACAGCACGGTGCCTGGAGCAGAACAGGTGTGCAGATATGGGCTCCGGCCTAGCCCTGGGATGGGCCTTTAGGGTCCAAGGGCACCGGCCACACTCACCCATGAAGATGAGGAAGACCACAAAGGCAGCGGTGTCCCACTCGGACTGGAACAGGTGGCGGCTCTTCAGTCTCCCCAGCACTTCCTGGGCTGTGACCTCCAGCTCCTGCCTCAGCTCCTCCGCAGACAGGCCCATCTCTGCAGAAACCAGCTGTTCCAGCCCCCAGAGGGTGACCTTAGAACCCTGGGCCAGCTCAGGCCTCCCTGGCCCAGCCCCTCTGCTCCCCCTGTCCCCGGCCACGGCCACTGCCCAGCTCTCACCACCTGTCCCTCAGCCGGCCCTGCCTCAGGCCCCGTGCCTCCCACTCCTCTTCTAGCCCCACCCTTGCAGCCCAGACAGGCCCCTGCAGCCCTGTCCTGCTCCCTCTTCCCCCCCAGGGCTGCCCCCAGGTGCCACCTGCCTCCTGGAAGCCTTGCTCCCCTGGCCAGGCAGTTCCAGCCTTGAGAGCACAGACTGTTTCCTGCTTCCGGATCCACACCACCTGAGGCCTTGGCAACCAGCCCCGCCCTCCCCAGGGCCAGCCGGGGCTGCCAGACCCTGGGGACAGGGGCCCAAGGCCCCAGCTGGCCCGGGTACTGCTCGCTCCTTCTTTCACAAGATCTTATTTTTACCTTTTCTCAACATACCAGACAGGCAACCTGGAACAGGTGGGCACTCAGTGCCCTTTGATTTGGTGGATAGAAGGGGACAGAGAGCCAGAGGAAGAAGAGAGCACAGGCGGAGGGAAGGGGTCAGGAGCTTGGCCAGGGTCCACTCCCTTCTCTGGGCAGCTGGGGTGATGTGGCTGGCCTCACACTACATCTTTCATTCTTAAAAATAACCCTTGCAAGGTGTCGGGTCTGTGGTGGTGACTTAGAACAAAGCAACCCTTGCAGGAAAGAAACATCAATCAGGCGCCCGACAGAAATGCCTGTCAATCAGCAGGATCTCCTGACTAACACCTGTCAATCAGCAGGACCCCCCTGGCCAATCCTGGAGTTCAGCCAGCTCCCCTGACCAGCTCCAGCAGGACAAGAGACTCTAAAAACACCTTTTCACCTCCCAAGCCCCTCCCTTCCTGCTGTAAGCCCCATAAAAGTCCAGTCCGCTCAGGCTTCCACTCGGTTTCTCCTCAGACCCTTCTCCTGTCCACTCTGTGGGTCTGATCGAGTTCCACCTGGGAGTGATATCTCAATAGAGCCTCCTTCCGTGGCCTTTTTAAGTCTGCCTCCTTTGGTGGCTGCCCGCCTCACCTGCCTCGCCTGATCTTACACAAGGAAGTGGTTACGCTTTCAGATGAGGTCTTCCCTAGGGCACCGCCCCTGACCTTCACACCTATGACCCTCCCCAGCAGAAGTAGCCCTCACTCCTCCCTGCTTTCCTTGGCCACTGGGGACCAGAGGCAGGGCTAAAAACCAGGCGGACACTAGTTCTTGTTCTTGTGGTTCTTAATGCTTAGCAGGAAAGAAGAAGAAAATTAAACGGGGTCTGGTATTGTATACCTGTAATCCTGAGAGACTGGGGAGACTGAAGCAGGAGGATCACAAGTTCAAGGCCAGCCTCATCAATTTAAGGAGACCCTGTCTCAAAAATTAAAAGGGTTGGAGATGTAGCTCAGTGATAAAGCAATTCTAGGTTTAATCCCTGGTACCAAAAAAAAAAAAAAAAAATCACCAACATTCATGCTTGGGCATGTTCCCTGACCCTTCTATACCTGCTTCCTCATCTGTAAGATGAGTGCATTAACAGGTCCACCTCTGCGGGTTACCAGGATTCGCCGAAGCATTCTCAACATGAGGACGGGTACTAAATGGCTGTGTGGGATCACCTCCCACTTGCAGCTTCTGCGGGCTCCTGTGCAGGCTCCACACAGCTGAGCTCATCCAACCTCGCGGCACTTCCTGAGGTCAGCACGCTGTCTGCGGCGTTTGCTGGAAGGCTTGGACTACGCCAGCACCGCACAGTCCTTGTCGGTGGCCACCAGGACATTTCCCTCCCGACTTCCGAATTACTCTTCATGCACAGGGGTGAGAGAGTCCTGCAGAAGGCCGGCTGCCCGGGAACACTCTGCCCAGAGGCTCGTTTCTTTAGGGGACATCCCCAGACTCAGCCCACAGGTGACTGGATCCATCTGGTCTCTGCTAGCAACTAATCCTAACCCTAGCAAAGTCCCCACTCGCTCTGCTTTGGGAGACCACCGCACCCACTCCTTCAGGAGCCCTGCAGAGGGGCCTCCAGACTTCCTGCTGAGAGGACCCTGGCCCAGGCAGGCTTGGCCTGGTCTTCCTGTTTCTGCCCTCCAAGCCTGTGGTGTCTGAGCACAAGGAAGTGGGGGCCAGGGAACGGAGTGGACACGGAGGACAGTGCTGGGGCAAGTCCAAGGGGTAGAGCAGGAGGGCAGATCCCAGGCTGCAGCCTTGCACACGCAACACGCGGCCCCTCCAAGCCGCCTGCAGTGGGAAGAGCTGAGCAGTCCTTGCAACAGACACCTGAGGACCAGCAAAGCCCCAAATAAGGTCTGTCTGCCCCTTTACAGAGAGTCTGCCAGCGCCGGGGTCAGAGGATTGCTGAGGGCTTCCAAAGTCAGCTGCCAGGAAGCAGGAAAGAAAGAACATGGCAGCTTGAGCGAGGCAGGGAGGCTAGACCCTGGTGGGAGAAGTCCCAGGCGGGGTGGGGCTCAGAAGTGGACTCCATCAGCACCGTGGAGGCCGTCTCAATGACAAAGCAAGAGGGTGGACACCTGGGCTTCAGTCCACCACAGTCAGCTGTGGGCCCTCACACCCTCTTTATGTGTCAACTCATAAACTTCCTGGGCTGTTGACCTCCGCTGATGACCTCCACTGATGACCTCCACTGATCCAGGAGCCTAGACGCCCCTCCTCTCTCACAGCTCCACCTGCTTTTGCCCGGCCCTCCCACCACCTTGAAGAGTCCCTCCACTCAGGTCTGGGGACCTTTTCCACCCACCACGTAGAGGGATGCTGGCAGTCGCTGGGACCTGCCCCAGGACCTGCGCCTTGTCTGCCTAGCACCTGTCATTACTCAATAAACCCTTTGATGTCAGAGAGCCCGCGGTCTCTAGAGGTTTGCTGTAACACATGATCTGCCTGAAGAGGGCACGACCGGCCAGGGTTCTCATCTCTAAGATGCAAATGGAAATCCAGACATTTCCATGAGCAAGAGGGGGGGGAGGACAAGCAGGAGGACTCAGTCGAGTGGCTGCCTTCAGTCCCAGCCCAGCCACTTCCTCAATTATGTGTGACCTCTCTCTCTCTCTCTCTCCTCCCTTTTTTCTTATTTTTCTTTTTTTTTTTCTTTTTTTTTTTTTTTTTTTTTTTTTTTTTTTTGGTACTGGGGAGTGAATCCAGGGGCACTTAGCCACTGAGCCACATGCGCAGCCCTTTATTGTATTTTATTTAGAGACAGGGTCTCACTGAGTTACCGTGGGCCTTGCTGAATTGCTGAGGCTGGCTTTTAACTCACATCCTCCGACAGCCTCCCGAGCCACTGGGATTACAGGTGTGCGCCACCACACCCAGCGTGACCTCCCTTATCTGTGAATCAGGGGTGATACTCCAGCCGCATCCCAGGGCCCCCGGAGCAACGCCAGGAGCAGGGTAAGTGCTCTTTTCTAGGTTGATCTCTTGGGTTTGTTTCTTTGTGTGTGTGTGTGTGTGTGTGTGTGTGTGTGTGTGTGGTGCTGGGGATTGAACCCAGGGCCTTGTGCCTGCCAGGAAGCTCTCCACCAACTGAGCTATGTCCCCAGCCAGATCTCTTGGTTTTTCAATGATGCAGTTAAAAACATGATGGTAACAACAATTGATGGACCAAAGAAAATACCCGGGCCAGGTGTGGTAATCCCAGCGGCTCAGGAGGCTGAGGAGGAGGCCCACAAGTTCGAGGCCAACAACAGCAACTTAGCGATGAGGCCCTAAGCAACTTAAGGAGATCCTGCCTCAAAGAGCATGAAGGGCTGGGGACGCGGCTCCACAGGAGGCACCTGGTTTCAGTCCCCGGTCCAAAAGGAAAAGAAAATGCACGGGTGTTCTGTGGAGGTCTGGGTGTGCTTCCCCGGCAGAGTGGTTAAGGGCATGAACTCAGGAACCAAGCCCAGCTGGTGACCGTGGGGACCTCGGCGCACATAGGGGTGGTAGTGGGCTTTGGCCAGCGTCCAGGCATTGCAGGGTAGGGCCTGGAGGACGGCCGCCTCCTTGGCCTCTCCTGCTGCAGGTGGGGGTCACAGGGCGGAGGCTTGAGCTTGGATTCTGTGGTCAACTGCCACCCTCCCCTCCCCCACCACGTGCACCAGGACCCCAGTGGCTCCCACAGGGACTCCGCCAGGCGCCACCAGAGGCTGATTCTTTCTCTTGCTCCTCTGCTGGGCTGGCCACTGTCCTCTCTCCAAGGCCGTCTTCCCTGGCCCTCGCAGCCTGGGCTTTGGTCAGTCCCTCTGTGTCTGTGTCCCCTTCGCTCTCACGTGTCTCTCTGGCTCTGCTCACTCTGCTTATGTGTCCCCCGGGGGAGAGTGGGGCACCTCCTCCAAGAGCCCCCTTCCGAGGTCCCTGCTGGGCGGAGCCCTTTGCTGCACCCCCCACTTCCTGTGGCCCCTTCCAGGACCCCATCCAGCCACAATGTACCCCCGGGCTTTGGCCTGCCTGCGCGCAGAGCCCCTAGACCCAGAGTCACCTGCGCTGGGGGTGGGAAGGGCAGGCCTCTGGGCTGGCGCCTCTGGGTGGGGGTCCAAGTCTCCCCAGCCGTGGACGGTGGGCCTCGGGCAGAGCAGGGGGCACAGAATGTGGCGTCGGTGCTCAGAAACGAGAAAGCCCAGCCACAGACGGCTTCTCCCTCCACACTGATGACAGGCGCCATCGGCACCGCTGTGCCTGGGCCCATGGATCCCCTGAGGCGATCTTTCTCCCCGTGCTCCTCGCGACCCTCAAGCCCCAGGACCCCGCCCTGCGAGGCCTCTGACTCTGTGGGCATCGAGGCTGTGCTGGACCAACTGAAGATCAAGGCCATGAAGATGGGGTTTGAGTTCAACATCATGGTGGTGGGTGAGTGAGGGGCTCACAGGCGGCAGGACCGGGGGACAGGGACAAGGCCTGTGGGCCCGGGAGTGTCGCCTCATCCCTCAGTCTCAGGGTCCCCATTCGGCAGGGAGCCTGGCCATGGCACCTCATGGGAGTGCTACAGTGGAAAATCTGGGAAACTGTTGTTACAGACAAAAAATCACTCACCAAGAGGCAAGCAGGGTCTGCGGGGAGGGTCAGATTCCTGGACTTGGGACCCCAGTGCAATCTTGATACGATGTCATGGATGCTGATGTGGCTGGGTTTCACTTGTAAAAACTGGTTGAAATGCCCATCAGTGGGTGGCTGAGCCAGCAAAACTTGGCTTATTCATACAGTGGAATATTATTCAGTCGTGAAAAAGAATGAAGCATGGACGTGGGCTACAGTATGACCGAACATTATTCTAAGGAAAAGCAACCGAACACCAAAGGCCAGATATTGTATGATTCCGTTTACATGAAACATCCAGAACAAGCAATTCCACAGGGACAGAAAGCAGACAAGGGGGTCAGGGGCTGGGAGAGGAGGGAACAGGGAACAATTGCTTCGCAGTCGCAGTCTTCCTTTTGGGGTGATGACAGTGTTCTGGAACTAAGGAGAGGTGGTGGTTACCTGGTACTGGGAGGAGATTTAATGCCACTTTTATTTTACTTTTGGTTCAACAGGGCTACTCTACGACTGAGCTACGTGCCCAGCCTTTTTTTTTGGTGGTGGTGCTGGGGATCAAACCCAGGGCCTTGTACATGCGAGGCAGGCACTCCGTCAACTGAGCTGCATCCCCAGCCTCCTTGCCCAGCCCTTTTCAAAACATTATTTTATCCTGGGCTAGGGACAGAGCTCAGTTGGTAGAGTGCTTGCCTGGCACGCACAAGGCCCTGGGTTCAATCCCAGCACCACAAAAAATAAATCAATAAATATTTTATCCTGCCAGGCGCAGTGGTGCAGGCCCTCATCCCAGCGGCTTGGAAGGCTGAGCCAAGAGGATCATGAGTTCAAAGTCAGCCTCAGCCACGGTGAGGCGCTAGCAACTCAGTGAGTCCCTGTCTCTAAGTAAAATACAAAAAAGAGCTGGGGATGTGGCCCAGCGGCGGCTGAGTGCCCCCGAGTTCAATCCCTGGTACCAAAAAAGCAAAAAATCGTTTCATCTTGAGACAGAGTCTCACTGAGTTGCCGAGGCTGGCCTTCAACTGAAGTCCTCTGCCTGTGCCTCTTGAGTACTGCCACTTGACCGTGCACTTGAAAACGATAACGGCTATTTTTGCCGTCAATTTTACCTCAATAAGCAAAGGGGAGGAAAATGTTGAGCTGGACGCTTGTGACCCTGGGTACCTGACTGCGTTGACACTGGGCCCGGAAAACAGTCTGCTTTCTGAAACATCCCGCGGGGTCAGGAGCGGGAGAGGCTGCCTGAGGTGTGCCCGCCCCTGACTGCTGTCCTCTGGTCGCTCCCAGGGCAGAGCGGGCTGGGCAAGTCCACCATGGTGAACACCCTGTTCAAGTCCAAGGTGTGGAAGTCGAGCCTGCCGGGCCTGGGGACGCCCATGCCACAGACGTTGCAGCTGCACTCGGTGACCCACGGTGAGTGAGCCCCGGCCCGCCCCCGCCCGCTGGGTCCGATCCCTCCCCTTTGCTCTCCCCACAGTCATCGAGGAGAAGGGCGTGAAGCTGAAGCTCACCGTGACCGACACACCTGGCTTCGGGGACCAGATCAACAACGACAAGTGGTGGGTCCCAGGGTGGGCGACCAGCTCCCACCCGTCCTCCGACCCCTGGGAGACACCCAGCTCCAGAGAGGCCTGGCCATGCCATCTAAAACTGAAGGCCAGCCAGGCGTGGTGGCACAGGCTGTGACCCCAGCGGCTCCGGAGGCTGAGGCAGGAGGATCACAAGTTGAAGGCCAGCCTCAGCTACTTAGCAAGGCCCAAAGCAGCTCAGTGAGATTCTGTCTCAAAATAAAAATAATAAATAAAAAGGGCCGGGGAGCGGCTCAGTGTAACACACCCCTGGGTTCCATCCCCATGCCAAAAAAAAAAGTTGGGAGTGGCTCAGACCACGGCAGGCAGCTTTCTCGTGAGTGTTCCCTTCCCTGCAAAGCAGGTGCTGTCAGCCAAGGCTTCAGGGGAGAATGGCAGGGGTCTGTCTGTCTCCCATGAGGCAAAGGGCTGACAAAGGGCCGTAAGGGGACTGAGCCACTCTTGGGGGCTCTGGGGGTCTGTTCTGAGGGGGCTTCTCTGCCCAGCTGGGACCCGATTCTGGGCTACATCAACGAGCAGTACGAACGGTACCTGCAAGAGGAGATCCTCATCACCCGGCAGCGCCACATCCCCGACACCCGGGTGCACTGCTGCGTGTACTTCGTGCCGCCCACTGGCCACTGGTGAGGTGGCTGGACCAGCCAGGGAGGGCCCCCCATCTAGGGCAGACACGAGGAGGAGGAGTCTCAGTGTGGGCCTCGGGCTGGGTAGCCTCTCACTATTCCCTATCCCCGCCACCACTGTCCCTGCCCTGCCTGGGCAGCCTGCGGCCCCTGGACATCGAGTTCCTGCAGAGACTGTGCCGGACTGTGAATGTGGTGCCCGTGATTGCCCGGGCTGACAGCCTGACCATTGAGGAGCGAGAGGCCTTCAGGAGTAGGGTGATCTGGGTGCTCAAGGCAGGGCTGGGATCGGTGTGGCAGAGAGCAGGGTGGGCAGGATGGGCTGAGGTCGCCTATGTTTGGTTGGCAGATCCAGGAAGACCTGAGAAATCACTGCATTGATGTGTACCCACAGAAATGCTTCGACGAGGACATCAATGACAGGATCCTCAACAGCAAGATTCGGGTAAGAAGCTGCAAGGGGCAGAACGTTGGTGGAACTGGGCTCTCTCTCTGCAACTCAGGGAAATGCACGTGTACTTCTAGCAGGTACAAAACTGCATCCGTCTACAAACTCAAGGTGAGCAAGAAATGGCTCACATCAGACAATCCACAGAAAACCAAGAAATGTTGGCAAGTCACATCTCTAAGAAGGGGCTTGTATCCTAAGAACTCTCACAACTCAACAACAAAAGCCTGAAGGGCAAGGACTGTGAATGTGGTGCCGGTGATTGCCGGGCTGACAGCCTGGGGGTGTGACTCGGTGGTAGAGTACTTGGGCTCAACTCCCAGCACTCAAAAAAAAAGAGCAGGCCAAGGCCAAAGATCTGAATAGACATTTCCCCAAGAATACATAAAGGGGTCTGGGGACATATCTCAGTTGGTAGAGTGCTTGCCTTGCATGCACAAGGTCCTGGGTTCAATCCCCAGCACCACCAAAAAAAAAATAATAATAATAATACATAAAAGACGGGTAGTGGTAAATGCCTGTAACCCAAGCTGATTGAGAGGATGAGGCAGGAGGATGAAAAGTTTAAGGTCATCCTGTGCAACTTAATAAAACTCTGTCTCAAAATAAAAAATAAAAAGGACTGGGGCTGTAGCTCAGTGGTAAGGGCTTAGGTTCACCTTCCAGAAACATGGAAACACACACAAAGGTATACAAATGTCTAAGAAACACACACAAAGGTGCCTAACATCATCAGTTGTGAGGGAAATCCAAATCTCAAAACCACAGGGAAAGACCACACCAATTGGGATGGTGTCTTAGTCAGTTTTCATTTGCTATAATACAACACCTGAGACTGGACAATTTATAAGGTATGAGATTTATTTAGATCACAGTCTTAGAGGGTAGAAGTCCAAAAGAGGGTGACCATATCAGTGTGGCCTCTAGTGAGGGCCTCAAGTTGCCTCACACAGGATGGAAATTAGGAAGGGTAAGTGGACATGTCCCAAACGGGATCCCGTGGCTAGAAGGAGGCCAGAATAAAGCTGAGGAAGCCCAACTTGCTTCATGACCTCCCTGTGCACACCTGTCTGTTTTAACCCTCATGATGACCCCAGGTGGAGATGACCGTTTCGTTTCACAGGTTGGAGGTTCAATGTCAGCAGGATTGCATACTTACGTATATAAGGAATACACATGGAATTCAGAATATGTATGGTATATGTGCAATGAGATATGTTTATAGATCACATATGTTATACTTTTTCTTTTTTTTTTTTTTTGGTGCTGGAGATCGAACCCAGGGCCTTGTGCATGAAAGGCAAGCACTCCACCAACTGAGCTGTATCCCCAGCCCCTTTTATTTCTTACTTTTTTGCAGTGCTGGGGATGGAACCCTTGCACATGCTTAGCATGGTTCTGCCGCTGGGCTACACCCCGGCCCCGAGATTATATTATTACTGTGGTTATTAACCAGACAGTTTCCAAGGCTACTCTGCCAACCTTGAACTATGCTAAATGCCTTGCGAACGTCCAGAGGCCTCCGACCGACCTGCTGGTGCCCTCACCTACAGCTGAGGCAGAGCAGGCACGGGTTAGACGCCCGAACACCGTGCTCCCTCCCACTGAGGACAGTGCCCCAGCCTCCTCCCAGGTGCCTCCTCCTCCCCTCCCCTAGGAGCGGATCCCTTTCGCCGTGGTCGGTGCAGACCGAGAGCACATGGTAAACGGGAGGTGCGTGCTGGGCCGGAAGACCAAGTGGGGCATCGTGGAAGGTCAGTGTGGGGACCTTGGAGACGCACTGAGGAGGGGGCGGGAACCAGAGCCCGGCCTGTACCTTAGGGACCTGGGCTGGGGCGGCGAGGTCCACAGACGGCAGCACACACACCTGAGCGGGAGCCCAGGCGAGCTGTCTGGTCGGCCTCAGTTTCCTCCAGTCAAATAGGCATCGCAGGAATACGGGGACCGACAGGGTGCAAGTCCCCACCCAGCTGACAAGGCGATCACCCAGGGAGGGACACTGGGGGGCACTAGCTGAGGGAGCCAAAGGGCCCTGCCAAGGGCCAGGCTGGGTAGCAGGAGCTACCACGTTGTCGTTAGACACGCGTGTCCGCCATGGGTGGTACCATGGGCGAAATCTGATGCAGTGAAGGTGGGCTCACTCCCTGGCTCAGCAGCTCGCCGTAGTGGCCACTGCCCCAGGCCAGACAGCGGATGAACGAATGGCTGACTCAGAGCACCCAGGGAAGGGCAGAGGGGCAAGACGGGCCCGGGGTGGGGCACAGGGCTTCGGCACACGGTGGGGCTCGCTCAGTGCTCGCTGGAGCCACGTTCAGGCCCGTGTCTTGCAGTGGAGAATATGGCGCACTGTGAGTTTCCTCTCCTGAGAGATCTGCTCATCCGGTGAGGCCTGGGAGGCCGGGAAGGGGTGGCGGGGCCACCGTGGTCAGGGCTGACCTGCCTCTCACCACCCAGCTCCCACCTCCAAGACCTGAAGGACATCACCCACAACGTCCACTATGAGAACTACCGAGTCGTCAGGCTCAACGAGAGCCACCTGTTGCCCAGCGGGCCGGGCTGGGTGAACCTGGGCCCCGCCTCCACCCAACAGCTGACCACCCCTGCACCCCTGAAGGTCCGAAGGCGGGTCCAAGAGGATCCCAAGGATGAGTTCTAAGCACTTGCAGGCTCCCCAGGTCCTTGCACCCAACCCCCAATACAATACCTATTAAAGGTGGACACTGCTTTGTATTAGAAACTGTGCTCCTTTTTGTGGGGGGCGGTACCAGGGCTTGAACTGAGGGTTCTCCACCACTGAGCCACATCCCCAGCCCCATTTTGTATTTTATTTAGAGACAGGGTCTCACTGAGTTGCTTAGTGCCATGGCATTGCTGAGGCTGGCTTTGAACTTGAGATCCTCCTACCTCAGCCTCCAGAGCCGCTCGGATTACAGGTGTGTGCCACCAGCCCAGCTCGAAAATGACTTCTTTGAGGTAGCCTCAGAGAAAAGTATGGCTCTGTTTTTCTCTTTTAATAGCATGAGACCCAAGATCCTCAGGGAGTCAACCCCACTGTCCTGAGCCAGAGCCCAGTTACAAATGGGGCTCTCCCGTTTGTCCCGACCTCTCGCTCTTGGCCTGGGACTAGGCCTCGAACACTCGACTCCCCCACGTCCTCGGTGGCCTGACTTGGGCTGTCCTCCCTGAGCCACTCTGAGCCATGTGGGCCCTGCCTTCCTTCTTTCCTGCCCTAGCAGACCAACATGGTGAGCAGGAGATCCCAGCGGCCAGTCCCTTGTCCTCCCCTGCCTCAGGCTCTGCAGCTACACAATGGGGGTTGGGGGTGACTGTGTCCCTCTCCGTGGTGTCGGTGTTCCGACCAAACTCCACAGTTCTTGTTGTGCCTGCCACAACCCGAGAAATGGCACGCGGACAGAGGGGGTGGCAACTGGACGGAGCGAGCGTCAGTCCAGGGAGGAGAACCTGTGGCCGTGTGCGAGTTGTCCTCTGCCAAGATCCTCCAGGAGGGATGGACTTGACGTGACGGGAGCTGAAGCACTCCTCGGTGACAACGGTGAGCAGAACGGTATCCTAGCTACAGGTCAACTCCTCCATGAAGCCTTCCTTGACTTCCCCAACCGATGGAGGCCGATGGAGCTCAGTGGTACAGCACTCAGGGGTTCTCGACCATCCCAGTACTTCCCCACTCCCCCTATATACAGAAGATAAGATAAAAAACCTTTCAGTTTTTTTTTTTTTTTTAAATCTCAGTATTTGGTCACACTGATGGAGGACTAACACACTCTCTAACAAACGTCTTAGTGGTGGCACATGGCTGCACAAAGGACGAAACACTGTCCCATCCCATAGCATGTTCCCCAGCTTGAGATCAGCCTTAGGCAATATGACAATGGCTACAGTGTTTCAAAACCGCACGCTCTTTGGCACCACAAGTGCGTTTCTAGGGATGGATATTACACCAGCCCTGCCAGCCTCCAGTCGGCACTACTGACGTTAGAGGCTGGATCATTCTTTGCTGGAGGAGGCTCTCCTGTGCACTGAAGGAGGTTCAGCAGCATCGCTGTTCTGGACCCACTAGATGTCAGTAGCAACTCCCCCACTGTGACAACTATAAATGACCCCAAACATTGCTACAAGTCCCCTGGGGGTACACAGTTATGTCCAGCTGGGAACCACTGATAGCTGTGCACAGGTGTGCAGAGTATCCTACCAAGGTTCCCAGAGAAGGGTGGGAAACAATGTACCTGTCCACGGGACACCCATACCACCGTATTAGTTTCCTATGGATGCTGTAACAAATCAGCACATACTGGAGGCTTGTCAGAGTCTAACATCAGTATCACTGGGCAGAGGAGGGCTCCCGCACTGACCTAGCCACCATGTTGCCCGCCTCTGACTCCAACTGCCTCTTCAACTTTTCTTCTGAGTAGCTTTCTTCTGTGGTCACTTTGCATTCCAGGAACCACAGGTCTGAGTGATAAGCATCTTTATGACAAGGGACTGAAACTACCCCCAAGCAACAGTGAGTCTCAGTAGATTACCCCATGATGGGTCTGCCCCTAAACAGAAGCTGAGGGAGCTTCTGAAGGAGCTGAGGCTGCCCCCCCACCCTATGCAGGGGCCATCATTCCACAAAGGGGAGCGAATTGACCTTCCCAGAACTGTCCTGAGATAAGGATCAACCAGACAGTGGCACAAACAAGACATTCCTTCAGCTATGCAACTCCTGAGCCAAGCAAGAGCCAAGCAAGCCCCCCACCCCCAGCACTGCCTTGTTCCCTTTGTCTTTAAACCTCACAGTGACTGTCAACTATTGAAGACAGATCTTTGGCCACTGCACCTGGGTATCTGCTCTTCCCTCGGTGGCCACACTGATCAAAGCTCCTGTCCCACTCTTGGCCACTGCCTGTCTCTTTGATTGTCATATTGGGACAGGTGGAAGAGACTGGTCTGTCAGGACCCCCAGAGCCAGGGTCTTTGCCTTAGGGCTCCAGTAAAAGGGCCCGAATCACAATCTGAGAAAGGACATGCTCCAGAGGAGATGACGTCTTTCTTTCCCTAGCTCCTAGAGCTCGGTTCCTCACTTTGTGCCCCCTTTCTCTCTTTTTTAATACTTTTTTAGTTGTGGAGACCTTTATTCATTTGCTTACACGTGCAGAATCGAACCCAGTGCCTCACACATGCTAGGCAAGTGCCCTACCACTGAGCCACAGCCTCAGCCCCCCCTTTCTGTACTTTCAAAGCCAGCAGCTTAACCCCTTGTTCCCAGGGCCACACTGCCTTCCCCTGGGTCAAGTCCCCCTCTGCTTCTCTCTTATAAGGACCCTTACTCTTGTGATTATTGGGCCCATCAAAATAATCCAGAATAATCTTTCATCTCAAAATCCTGAATTCCATCACCCCTGCCAAATCCCTTTTGTCAAAATAAGGTAACAACATATTTACAGATTCTAGAGAACTAGAACACAGTGATTCCAGGAGGCATATTTTAAAAAAAAAAATGTTTTCTTGAAAAAAAAATTTTTTTTCTTGGAGCTACTTCCTACTCCTCTCCAAGCCTTACCCTGATCTCTCGTCCCACCTTTAACATCCCTCTCTCTGGGGTAGGCTGAATTCCAAAGGCCCTCTGCAACGCCTTTCCTAGCCTCAGTTTAAATAGTAATGTGTTCATCAAAAAAGAAAATGCAACAGTTGTTGTGTGATCACACCTGTAATCCCAGCCACTTGGGAGGCTGAGTCAGGAGGATCACAAATTCAAGGCTAACCAGGGCAATTTAGTGAGAACCTGTCTCAAAACAATGAAAAGGGCTTAAGGCCTGGGGTTGTGTAGCTCAGTGGTAGAACGTTTGCCTAGCACTGGGCTGGATCCTCTGCACACATAAAAATAAATAAATAAAGGTATTGTGTGCATCTACAACTTAAAAAAAAAAGGGGGGGGGGCTTGAGGTGTAGCTCAGTGGCAGAGCACCCCTGAGTTGAATCCCAGTACTAGGAGGGAAAAAATGCAGATGTGCACTCTGTAATCCCAGGGACTCACAGGAGGTGAGTTCAAACCCAGCCTCAGGGGCTGGGGATGTCGCTCAAGCGGTAACCGCTCTCCTGCCATGCGTGGGGCTTTGGGTTCAATTCTCAGCACCAGTTAAAAATAAAATAAATATGTTCAGTCCACAGAAAACTAAAATTAATTAATTAATTAATTAAAAATTCTCTCTCTCTTAAAAAAAAAAAAAAAAACCCAGCCTCAGCAACTTAGCCCTGAACAACTCAGGAAGACTCTGTCTCCAGTGAAATATAAAAAAGGGCTGGGGATGCAGCTCAGTGGTTAGACACCCCTGGGTTCAATCCCTGGTACCACAAAAAAAAAAAAAAAAAAAAAAAAAAAAGAAAGGCAGATGCTGTTCCCTTTGATGTGACAAGGAAGCACAAGATTTCTTGGAAGAAAAAAGCCAAGAGCCTTGTGAAACATCTGTCTGTGTCCCACTGCACCGCTTTTCTGTCACGGTGCTTTCAGAGCCCCCTGAGGCCCTGGAGATGGGGACTTGAGACAAGGATTTCCTCCACCTTCCTCAAAGCCGGCTTCGAGGAACCTGCTGTAGCCTGGTCAGCGGGCCTCCGAGCTTCGCGAGGTCGTTCTCCGTGTCTTACCAAGTGGACATAGGCCTGCCGGGCCCAGCACGCCCACTGCGGCCGAGGCGGAGGGAGCGGCCACTGCCCACTCTACTCTCCTGGCCAGCACTGACCACAGATGTGAGTAAACAATTAGTGCAGTTATTTTGTTCACTGTCTGTCTGTCTTGCTGGAACACTTGAAGCAAGCATAGGCTCACAGCTGGGTCACCTCGGCCGGACCATTCGGGGACACAAGGAGCAGCTTTTAAGCCGGCGAACGAGCTGCAACACCCTGGGCAACCTGCGCTGCGCTGTGTGGACACCGCGGCCAGGGCGCGCAAGGGACCGGCCGGTTCTCGGGGACAAAGACGCGGCCACCGGAGGCAGCGTTGCCATCCTCCGGGGACACGACGCCCGCCCCTCGCCGAAACCGGCACGTGCTCAGCCCGGGAGCGCCTGGGCCTGCGCGAGGCACCCTGGGAAGTGTAGTCCGGCCGCCTTCCACCCCGCCTCCAGCGCCCGAGACTTCCGCTCCCGGCGGGCACCGACCTCGCGCGAGGCTTTGAGAAAGACTCGGGAGACGCTAGGGTGGCTCTGGGCCAAGGGGAGGGGAGCGCGAGTGGAAGGGGCGGGGCCTGAGCAGGTTTCCGTTTTGAGACCCCTCCCCGGAAGCCGACGTGGGCAGTGAGCCCCCTCCTGCGCCTATTAGGCGGGTGCAAATTCGAGGCCAGCCTCAGCGTTGTAGGGAGACGTTAACAGACGCTAGTATGGCAGTATGTAAAAAAGTGGATGTGTAACTGATGTGATTCTGCAGTCTGTATATGGGGTAAAAATGGGAGTTCATAACCCACTTGAATCAAAGTGTGAAATATGATATGTCAAGAACTATGTAATGTTTTGAGCAACTAATTATAAAAATTTAAAAAAAAAAAGGTCTGGGGGTGTAGCAGGGCAAGGGATATTATTTGGGGAGGAAAGGCATGCATGAGTCGACCTGGGAGACCTTTTTTTCCTGGGCAAAAACATCGGCATGTTTCTTCTTTCTCCCTTCACCTTTTATTATTTTTTAAAATGTTTTTTAGTTGTCAGTGGACCTTTATTTATTCACATGCGGTGCTAAGAATTGAACCCAGTGCCTCATACATGCTAGGCAAGTGCTCTATCTCTGAGCCACAACCCCAGCCCATCCTTTTTAGTTTTTTGAGATGGGGGGGTCTTGCTGTTTAACATCTCTTTTGCCCAGGCTGGTCTTGAACTCCTGGGTTTAGGTGGTCCTCCTGAGTCAGTCTCCGGAGTAGTTGGGACTGCAAGCTTGTGCTTCTTCCCTCAAGCTTCTTTTCCAATCTTATTTTGAGCAACTTTTGCTTTTGGAAATGAAGATGGCAAAGAGTACTTCCTTTTTTTTTTTTTTTTTTTGTAACGGGTACTGGGGATTGAACTCAGGAGCACTCAACCACTGAGCCACATCCTCATCCCTATACTGTATTTTATTTGGAGATAAGGTCTGACTTACTGCCTCGCAATTGCTGAGGCTAGTTTTGAATTCCCGATCCTCCTGCCTCAGCCTCCCGAGCCACTGGACCTGCTTCTTTTCAGTAGTTTGACCTGCTTTCTTTGATCCCTTAATGGATCAGGTCAGTGCTTGTCCTGGCCTGTGTATTCTGTGCACATGTTCTCTGTAGAACACAGCTACCTGGTTCCCAGATGTTTGCCTTTTAGACCAGTTGTGAAAGCCCTTGGGGGCACATGGAACCAACCGGAGGTGGCCAGGCCTCCTTCCACCAGCTGGCAGAGCCCAGTGTTCTGCCTACCTTCCTCCCCAGGCAGCCTCCGGGTCCTGGGCTCATTTCTCTCACATCTGGGCCAGGGCTGCAGTCTTCCCTCTTCCTGGTCCCAGCTGTTCCTGCCCTCAACCTGTGCCACACCTTGGTGGCTTCTCACGTGTTCTCGTGTCTCCCTCTGCATTCCCACTGCTGGGGCTGTCTCCTGCTGCTTCTCACTGTTCCTAGCCATCATCATCTCAGGATGACGTGGATGGGAAATCTCAAGTTCAAGTGTGTGTACTGTGGGCCTCCATGACTTTCCTTTTATGGGTGGGGAAACAGGTCTAGAGGGGCCAGGTGGCGGAGCTGGCTTAGACAGATCTGAACTCTCCACCTCCTTTTTTTTTTTTTTTTGCAGTAGTAAATGGACACAATGCCTTTATTTTTATGTGGCGCTGAGGATCGAACCCAGTGCCTCATACAGGCTAGGCAAGCGCTTGCCACTGAGTCACAGCTCCAACCTCCTACCACCTCTTCCTCCAGCTTGTCCTGTCAATAATTCACAGGCAGATTTGAACTTGGATCAAACACTTTATTTTAAAATACTGTGAGACATTCTAAAAGGGAGAAAATGTAGTCATAGAAAAAATAATTGCCTTTGCTCTTGACAGCTAAGTGGCTGTGATGGAGGCTGCCTGGCCATTTGGAAGCCATACTACCAGGTGTTAGGCCTTGCCCCAGAGCCAAGGGGGAGGGGGCCGGCCCAGGCCTGGCTGGAGAGGCTTCCAGTGGTTTTGGTGGAGGCCTGCTTGACATTTGGCTTCTAATAGAAATGTCCCTCATGTTGGGGTGGGAGCTGGTGGTGGGCCTCCAGTGACCAGATGAGCAGGAGTTTGTGGTCCTGGTTGTGGCTGCCTGTAGCTGGTGTCTGTGATGCTGCTGTGGCTGGGCAGGGCCTACCTAGCTCTTGGCCTGGCTCAGGGCTGGATACAAAGAGAAGCTTGTGTACCCTCTGTTGTGGCAACTGGCAGAAACCCTCAGTTTGAATGTTTGAACATTTACCCAGATGCCAAGAGCCAGCTTTGCCTCCTGAGCCATGGCATGGAGGAACCGACTGACATGGTTTCTCTGCTTTTCCACAGGGCAGGCAGGGGCTCTGGGCCCTTGTCCTGAGTACAAGTTGGCAAGAGATCAGGGCCTAGAAAGCAGTTAGTAAAGGGCTCTAAGATGGAGAGCTGGGGGACAAGCTTGTAACAGGAGGGGGGGAACCAGGCTTCTCCCATGGAGGCCAGACCAGGCCCAGCAGGGGACCAGCTGGACCCTGCTTGGTGGTTATCGATGTGGGTGGGCACTGTTCCATTCCAGTGTTCTGTCTAGGTTCACCTTTAGTTTGGAAGGATCCTGGAACCTATGTGTGCTTTTTTATCTTGGGTAGAGAAAAAAAAAAAAAAAAAGAGAGCAAACTTCAATTGTTACCTTTTTTCAAAAAAAAAAAAAAATTAAGTCTGCCTGTGTGTGGGTTTGTACAAGCTGTGTTAAGTTAGGTTAGTTTGAAATAGCAAGTACTCAGGGGCCCAGAAAAAAGGTTGAAGTCTCTTTCAACCCTGAAATTATATAAATATGTTTTACTTAGTGTCTAAAAAGAACTTGTAAAATGGAAATGATAGAAGCTTGATAAAGGGAAAAAAGAACAGAAATGGAAAAGGAGGGAAGAGGCTCGCAGTCCCACAGAGTCCTGCGGTTTCCTTCCTGGCTCTGCAGAAGCTGGGGTCCACGTGGTTTCCCAGAGCTGCTGTCACACTTCGTGTGTAAATCTGTGTTTAACTCTTTGCTGTGTGCATGAAAATGTCAAGACGGATCTGGTGAAGGCCAGGGTGAGTTCACAGTTAGAGTCCCTACCCCACAAAGCCACCTGCTTTGTGTCCACCGGACACGCGTGGACAGCAAGGGGCCCACCAGTGCATGGAAAGCAGACCACCCCAACCTGCTCTCGATCCCCTTACCTGAAGCACCTATAGTTGGCCTAGAGGAGGCACCAGGATCTCCCTAGCTGACTCTGGCTCAAGAGGGTCCCCCAGGGCCCTGGGATGTCCTCCTTGGAGTCTGGTCTGGGTGCTCTTTCCCTCAGTGCTGAGTTTCACTTGTTCCTTCCTCTCAGTTGCATCTTCAAGGGCTTTCTGGCCACCTGTCCCCTTCCTGGCAGGTTCTTGGGGCAGAGCTGTCCCCTTCCGAAATGCTCTCAGCTGCTGGAGAAGCTGACTCTTGCAAGTACAGCTCCTGTAATACAGTAAAACCAACCTCTGTCAGCGCTACTGAGGCCAGTCCTCTCAGCATGTCACCACTGAAACCAGGCAAAGAAGGATCCAGGCAACCTCTGAGAATGTCTGGGATCCTGTTGGGAGTGATGGGTACCGTGGCTTCCCCTTCTCTGCTTGGTGGGCACAGTAAGACTTTAACACGTGGAGATAGGGTTCAGCCCCATCAGTGGCTCTGGACACCCCCAGAGGCTTCCCACCAAACGTCACCATCTATCCTGTCTGTGACATTCTTATGGAAGGAGCTCTGTAGAGGAGTGCACTAATTCCTGAGTTGCCTAGACTGGCCTTGAACTTGAGATCCTCCTGCCTCAGTCTCAAGAGTAGCTGGGATTATACATGTGCACATTCTTAATGTCTTAAAGCCTGAGCCAACAAAAAATCTGTTACTAACTGAGGATCATTTATATGCCCAACCTTGAGGTAGGAACTAAAATTATCCTTCCATTTCTGGATAACGACATTAAAACATGAAGATATTAAAGCTATTTGCCAGAGAAGCAGCGTGATTCCAGAGCTGAGGGCCACACAGGAGGTGCTCAATCCTCCTGGGAGGGACCATGCTTCTCAGAACGGGAGGGAGCCTGCTTAGTGAGCCAACCAACTGAGACTCCTGCCTTGCAAAGCAAGGCCTTGCCACTGGGGGCTGGGGGGTGGGCTGAGTAGGAGGCTGCACCTCCAGTTCTGCAGTCTGGGTGCATGTTACTATCACAGGCTTCCAAAAGGAGGCCTGTTCAACACTTCTCAGCCCCCGTGCTGTCCCCACAGTGCCTAGCCATGTTCCCAGGAGCTGCATGAGGCCCTGACATTGCCAGATGCCATGGCATCTAATCTCATTTGCCCATGACCACAGGATGGGGCCTCCCTCACGTCCCTGCAAGACACTTCACTTTTTAATTCACCAAGCCTTTAGTTTCTGGAGAACCACCATCACTCCATCCCTACACGGTCTCTTCACTCCCACTGTCATGAGTGGCAGGGATCAAGATCAATCAGGGGAGCTATTTTTCAGATAGAAAATGTACAAAGTCCTACTCAAGAGGGAGCTAGGATATCCTTAGTGATGTCCCAGGCCCCGCAGGCCAGGCTGAGGTGTGTGCTGGGTCTAGCTGGGCTCTCCTTGGCTTCCTCCCCAGCCCCTACAGCCTCCCTGCCCTATGTGTGGGCTCTTAAGGTGCAGGTAGTGAGCTGAAGTCCATTATGTCAGATCAACAGATGGAACTTCACCAGGCAGTGCAGTGCAGGGTCCTTGGGTGGTTACCGAAAATCCTGGGAGAGTGTAGCTGCCTGCTGTGCTGGGCTATGCGGGGCTTCCAGAGCTGCTCTCTCTGCCTCATCCTCCTCGCTGTCAGTGGAGCTGTGACTGGAGCTGGGGAGAGAAGAAACGCCATCTCTGGATGTGTCCCAGTGCACTCTGGCAGGCCTCATCCCTACCAGGGACTTGAAGTGCTCCTCTGGGACTGGATGGGACTTGCAGCCAAAGTATAAAAGCTGAGCTAAAAGGGCCACAGGACTTCCTGCCAGCTGCTGGGGAGGCAGAGGTGATGTAGCTAGCCTAGAGAAGCTTGCCCTCTGCCCCTTTCTTCCTTCCCTATAGGAGGCCAAGACCAGGTGGGACTGGCCAGGCCCATTCCTGGCTAAAAGTGCTTCCCAGCCCAGCCACTCCCCAAGCCATTTGAAGTTCCCCGTTTCTTCCAGCAAGAACTGCAGAAGCCTCATGAAGCCAACAAGCTACTCTGCAAAATGCAGAGTCTGCTGCAGGAATGTCATTGCTCTCTACCTTCCTGAGGACTGGTGGTCAGATGGCTCTGGAGACTCTGCCGGCCGCAGATCCATGAAGATGGTGGGAGGCTCCATCCTCAGCCTCATGCCGTCAGCCAGCTTCTGGCAGGGCTCAGCCTGGAAGCCTGGCTTCGTAGAGGCACATCTGTGACAAGAGAAAGGCAGGGTGGCTGAGTCCTTTCTCAGGTGATTACTCAACCTTTGGGCTTGTCCAGTCACATTGCCCATGGCAGGCACTGAAAGCATGCCCACCAGGTAGAGGTAGGCACTTCTAGTCCCTCTGCTCTTTCCTTATCCACAGTCAGCACAAGCAAGGCCCATGCTGCCAACAGCACTTGGCACGAATAAGATGCCATGAGTCCATGCTGTCCAGCGTGGGGCCACTTAACCACAGCTTGTTCACATTTACAGTTTTGTAGTTTGGGGGATGGAACCCAGGGCCTCACACATGCTGGGCAAGTGCTCTGCCACCAAGCTACATCCCTAGCCCTTTTTATTTTCTGAGACAGGGTCTTGCTAAATTGCTGAGGTGGACCTCAAACTTGCAATCCTCCTGCCTCAGCTTCCTGAGTAGCTGGGTTTTCAGATATGTATCATGTGCTTAGCTGTTTACATTTAAACTAATTAAATTCAAGTGAATAAAAAATTCAGGGGCTGGGTTGTGGCTCGCCTAGCATGGGTGAGGCCCTGGGTTTGATCCTTAGCACCACATAGAAGTAAACGAATAAAATAAAGGTACTGTGTCCAACTACAACTAAAAAATAAATATTTAAAAAGAAAAAGATAAAAAATTCAGTTCTTCAGTCACTCTAGACACATTTCAAGTGCTAAAGAGCCACATGTGGCCAGTGGCTACCATATTAGACAGTCCAGATCTAGCCATGTGATACTTTTGCTTGCCAGGCACAGAAACCTACAGCTGGGTTAGGAGAAAAGGGGGATTCATCAGCACCCAGATTCCTGAAAGGGTGAAACAACCAATGTGTGAGAAGGGCAGGAATACGCTGGGCCTGAGGGGACCGCTGAGTTGTCTCCACCTCCTCCTCTTTCCATCTGCACTCTGTCACTGCAGATTGCCATTCTCTGTACGGCATGACAGGTGGCCTTCCAATGTTACTGATACACAGATGGGGGAATTGCAGGGAAAGGCTCTGAGTGGCCTTGCTGACCACAGGCCAAGGGCTGGACTAATTAACTGTGACAGAGGGACAGGATCATGTGATAACCTTCCTACTCTCAAGGAGGCCATGTGGATAGTGGAGGGAAGGTCTCCCTAGGGTTTGGAGAAAGAGCAGGGAAGATGGCCTAGGAGAGGCAGCCTTCCTGAGACTCGGTTCCCCAGCTATAAAGTGAGGATACTGGAGCACCTGCCTGATTAGATCCTTGAAATAGAATAAGATGGTGCACATGAAGTGCCCCACGCATAAAAGGCCCAATTAGTACTGCTTCATCATGCACCCGTTCTAAAGAGATGACAGGGGCTGGGTGCAAGGCATATGCCTAGAATCCCAGCAACTCATGAGGCTGAGGTGCTGGAGGAATAGCTCAGTGATAAAGCAACCCTGGGTTCATTCCCCAGTACCCAAAACAAAAAATAGTGACAGGGTTATGACCGGCAAGAAATCCTACCTGCTTCTGGCCTCCTGCTCCTCTGTGTCTTGGGGTATGTCAGCAGGCAGCTTCTGGGCAGGGGCAGGGGCTCCGGACTGTACAGCACACAGGAGAGCCAGCTGTTCCAGGAGCCTGTCCTGGGAGTGTGATGCAGTATGGGCTGTGAATTGTCGGAGAAGAGGAGGCTGCTTAGTGGGGATTTGGTCCCCTTTGGCTTACAGCAGCTTGAAACTCAGGACCTCTTGGGTCTCTTCTTGCAGTGTGCCTTAGTCTTGAAGGTAGCCCCAGCCCTTTATGAGGCTTCCAGTGAGCTCAGCAGGGATGAGGGGAGCAGCATCTTAGGGGCAGGGACCACTATATTTGAGTCTCACAAAGTAGGGGCAACTAAGTAATGGAAATTTGCCACTCTCTATCCGCTACATCATGGGTAATCATGATAAATGACTGCCCATGTGTGTTTTTTAAAATAGCAAATGGGATCAGCTTAGATTTCTTTAACTCCATTTCTACCTTGCCTTATAGATTACATCTTCCTACATTAGTAAGGATTTTCCTCATTAAAAAGCAGAGCACTCTGGTGTAACCAGCTCAGCTAGACTCTTATTGCATATGGGTGTTTCCAAGTTTTAAACAGCACTGCAACATATGTCCTTAAATACCCACTGTGTGCTTAGGAGAGATTTTCAAAATGGAATAGCAATAGCTTGCTCAGTGGATGTGTGCCTTTAAACTAGACTAGATTTTGCTGGGCACTGTAGCACATGCCTGTAATTCCAGCTGGCTGAGAGGCTGAGGCAGAACAATCACAAGTTTAAGGCCAGCCTGGGCTGCGAATGTATATCAGTGGTAAAGAGCACCTGAGTTCAACACCCAGTACCATAAGGAATAAATGAGCAAGTAAATACATAAAGTAGGCTAGATTCTGTATGTTGCCCTCCAGAGGGCACAAATTTCACAGATACTCCCAGCCTACAGGAGGGTTTCCCCACATCCTGCATAAAGAATGTGAATTATAAACAAAGCTGTGTGAAAACAGCATAGAGGCTGTGGGTCTAGTGGAGTCTGATCTGGAACAGAGGCTAGAAATCTGACATCTGCCTCTACTCACTGTTTGGGCCCAAGAGGGTGGAAAGCTTTTGTGTTATTTGCAGAACTTCTCAGAGTAAGGCCACAAGTACTGTGACAAAGATGATATCCTTAGCTTTCTCTGTAAGCAGGAGTGTAAGCATGAGTGTGAGCAGGAGCTGACTGGAGGAGTAAGAGGCAGGATTGGGACTGGGGACATGATCAGTGGTAGAGTGCTTGCCTGACGTGTGTAGGGCCCTGGCTTTAATCCCCAGCAACACACACACACACACACACACACACACACACACACACACACACACACGGCAGGACCAACTTTCCCCCAAGAAGAGAGAGAGGAAGGGGAGGGAGAAGGAAGGAAGCTGTGGGTCTTGGGGCCCCACTTGTGTCTCCAGGGCCTGGACATGCCTGACACATTGCAGGAAGCCATATATATGTCCATTCAATGATGAGTGAAGGACTGACAACCTGAGTGTTCAGGCTGAGCAAGCACAACAGCTGCAGGGCTGACTATGCCCAGCTTGAAGTCCTTTGTCACTGAGAGGCCTGGAAGGAGGGCTTGTGGGGATTCACTTGGGTTCTGATGAAGTTCAAGGACAGACCTTGGCTCTGCTGGAGGTCAGCTGCCCACCATGCAGTTCTGGGTGCACCATTTCCCTGCTTGTCTTCTCGCCCTGGCAGACTCTGAAGGATATAATCCAAATCCCACTCTTCAAGTTGCTGAAACAACGAAGCCAGTGGTTATGAGGCTGCTCAGGGTCCCAGGGGCAGCAGCTCCTGCCGTCACAGCTGCCACCACCAGTGCAGCTTGTCATGAGACATTGTAGGGCAGAAACAGGTTTACATGCATGCCAGCGTTTGCTAATGGCCATACCCTCCCTGTAATGGATTAGAGATTAAATCCCTTCATTAAGATGGGCCCTGCAGGGCTGGGACTCAGTAGTAGAGCACTTGCCTAGCATGTGAGAGGCACAGCATTCACTTCTCAGCACCACATATAAATAAAAAAAATAATGGTCCATCAACAAGTAAAAAAAATAATTTCTTAAAAATAATTTTTAGTTGTATGCAGACACAATACCTTTGTTTTATGTATTTATTTATATGTAGTGCTAAGGATCGAACCCAGTGCCTCACATGTGCAAGACAATGCTCCACCCCTGAGCCACAACTTCAGCCCCAACAACTAAAAAAATATTTTAAAAAAAGGAGGAACTTGCATTCCTCAACACCTTCTTCCTAACCTTTTTTGGATGAGTCAACAGACCTGCATTTGACACAAAGATGTTCGATCTCAAGGAAACCCAGTGTCATTTTAAAATTGTTTAGGTCTATAAAGGGTCAAGATGTTTGGAGATTTAAAAAGCTTTTCTTTTTTGTTTGGCACATGCCTGTATTCTCAGCTATATGGGAGGCTGAAGCAGAAGGATCACAAGGCCAGCTTGAGCAACTTAGACCTCATCTTGAAATAAAATTTAAAAAGGACTCCGATATAGCTCAGTGGCAGAGTACTTGCCTAACATGTGCTAAGCCCAGAACTGCAGGGGAGAAAAAAAAGAAAAAAAAAAAAGTTGCTCTTTGGCTCTAACTGGAGAACTTGGTCAAGAGGGTTCTGGGGACAGGGTGTGATAGAGGGAGGAATTTAGCTTGGAATTAATGCTTTGTATGGTTTTGGGGATGGAACCCAGGGCCTCGTGCATACTCGGCAAGCACTCTACTACCGAGCTCCAGCTCCAGCCACAGTGAGTGTTTACTATCCATGACCTCGCTTCTTGGAGTCCTGCAGTGAGGATGTTGCCAGGGGTCAGCAAAAGGGAAGGATGGGCTTGCTCAGCAATGATGAAGAGCTTCTGTGTGTACCTTGCTGCCAGTTTCCTCTGAGTTACTAGGAAAATCATCAGAACTGTGGATATAGCAGAAAGAGGACTACAAGGCTTTCCCGTGCCATGTCGGAGCATCTCCCAGAGGTGACTTGCATGTGCCTGGCTAGGGCCCACCCACTTCACGGCCTTGTGAACCTGGGAGACTCAGTGGTTTCTCTTTTGTCCAGTGGACGAGAGTACCCCAAGATCACAGCTGTGCTGCCCTCTATGGTGCTGGCCACCCCACACGTGCTGCATCAGTCTTTTCTCCACTTTCCTTTCTCTCCCCCAGCATCTCATGGAATGTTTCTCCTAATCCCACAAAACTGGTTTTGTCACTCTGCTGGTTTTCTCATTAATACACACAATCCGAGTTGAATAGGTACTTTTCTTATATGAGAATGTGGGCTTTCCCATTTGGAGGATTTTGCTTTGACAGTATCTGATTTTGTATTTTACAAAAACCTATACACATTTGAATCCTGTACTTGGGATTAGCATTCTGGTTCTAGCCCCAGTGTGCTACAAAGGTGTCCACACTGCAGGGGACAGGCTAGAGGGAGGGCTGGGCAGTGGAGAGGCCTACCTGGAGTGAGAGCACCAGTTGTCCTTCCCGAGGTCCCTCTGATGGTGCCTCTGACCTGAGACCTGGCTCAGTAGACTGACACTGGTCCCTGCAGGCTGGGTCCAGGGCATCCCAGGTTACTTTGTGGAGCATTTCCTTCTCTATCATCTTTCTCCTCTCTCTCCGGAGGGCTCTGCGTTTTGCAGAGTCTTGCCAGGCAGCACTCAGAGGCTCTATCCCCACCTCTCCTTCAGGGGATAGGGTGGCTTCTCCCTGTGGGTCCCAGGGAGGACTCTGGAATTGTTTGGTGTTGAAGGACATGGTCCCAAGGTCACCTTCCGGCAACATGGGGGTCTCCTCTGACGTTTGAAGAAGAGTGCTGGTCTCAGCACAGGTCTCAAGAGAGCAGCCTTCCTGAGAAGCCAGGCCCAGTGTCCTTGCATTCTGTCCACTCCCAGGTTTGGTGGCAAGTCCCACAGGCACCAGAACTGGCTGTCAAGAAAATATGCATCCTCTGTTAGCATCTGCAAAAACACACTTTTGTTTTTTGTTTCATAGTAAAATATACATAACATACAATTTCCCATGTTAACCATCAAGTGTACAGTTCACTGGCGTGTATAACACCCACAATGCTGTACAGCTATCATCACTGTTTCCAAAACTCTGTTGTTGCCCCAAACAGAAAACTGTACCATTAGCAGTCACTCTCCATTCCCCTCAAAGAAGAAAAATTGCATAGAAGAGTAGCCAAAGGGACTCTAGAAACAAAACACAAAGTAAAATCATGTGGAAATTGTGCCACTGGAACTAACCCCAGGGACTAGGCACCCTGGAATTTCTCCCATTGGGCAGACCTACTTCTCAGCATGGCTGGGCTTGGGGGTGATGGTTCTTGTGATGGGTCAGATGATCTAATCCAACCCTCATGCACCCCATTTGCTTGGTGAATGATGCTGGCCAGAACTGAGGTGAGGGAGGTCAAGCTGGAGCGAAGCACCTACTGGATCCTCTCTCCCACACCCCAGCCCAACCATTTTGGAAGTGGGTTAAGGCCTTTACTGTGTTTTCACTGGAAACAGGACATTTAACCACAACTACATCAAGAAGGGCCAAACCAGTCTGGTTGGTGGAGGACACCCAGGGATGAAAGCAGACAGGTGGCTTTCGTTGTGAAGGCAGCAGTAAGTTTAAGCATTAAGACATTAGGCTTAGGGACTAGGGGTGTAACTCAGTGGTAGAGCACTTGCCTGGCCCATGTGAGGCACTGGGTTTGACCCTCAACACTGCATAAAAATAAATAAAGGTATTGTGTCTATCTACAACTAAAAAAAATTTTTTTTAAAGACATTAGGTTTAGATAGAGTTCTTTGTCTCAGCTGGAGACAGAGATGGAAATGCTTTGCTGCTGTTCAGCAACAGCCACAACTAGGAAGCTCGAGACTGAGCTGTGGCCTCTTCTGATTGTGTCCTGGGTCTTCACCTGGCCTCCCTGCTAGGGATGCAGCTTGTGCATTTGCTCAGCCATTTATGGAGCACCTCTTGCCTCTCACTAGAGTTATCAGTAATTAAACAAATATTTAAGGAGCTCCTGCTTGCCTGCTAGGTCTGAGCCAGGTGACTATGAAGCTAGTTGGATTAGGAAGAACCAATTATGACATGCAGTTGTGGCAATGGCCAGAGAGTGCAGAGTGTTTTGGTAGAAAACAGAGCAGGAGGGATCTGGAGGAAGGACAGAGGGTAAACACACACACACACACACACACACACACACACACACACTTCTGCCTGCAGAGCCTAGAGTCTGTGTCCCACAGACCTCAGCCAGAGGGACCCAGATCCTAGAATCATTGTCATCAGCAGGGTCTTCGGCCAGCTCCTCAGCCAGGTCTGGAATCAGGACGGGCTGGTTTCGCTGGAAGATGAATGGCTCTTCACCGCAATCTGACTGTGGACAAATGAGGGGGCTTTGGGAGATATGGAGGCAGCCATGCTGCCCAGCCTGCCCAGGGGTATCTAGGAGACCCAGTTCTCTCTTAAAGGGCTTGCCCTGTGCTACCTCCTATGACTGATTTAGAAGTGGGCTTGGCAGCACTACCTCAGGGGGGTGCAATTTGGGGCTCCCCATTCCAGGAGGTGCCATACCTGAGACCTTGCACAGTAAGTGCTGCATTTGTGCCTGGTGGTGAGTAATGAGGGAGCCACTAAGAGCAGAGTCTAGTCCCTCTCCACCTTAAGCATCTCTTAAACCAAGAACCTTAGCTTGCCACCTCTAATGAAGGTAGCTTATATGCTCCCGCCACCTTTCAGGGACAGCCTTGAAGACAGGGGCAAAGGAGACTGCAGGTGTGACAAGACTGGAGCACGGAGGCTGGGACTGCTCCACCTACTCCTGGGCGTCACTGTGCAATGGATGATCCCTGAGGTCCCAGAAGCTCTGACATGTCCACTTTTGCAGGTGCCCAGGCAGGCACAAACCATTCTAAAACCTTTGCCCTTGCTCTAAATTCCCAGTGCTAGACTGTATGCTAAGAAGCTCTCACCCAGTGGGTTCCCTGCAGGGTCACTGTCCAGTTTTATATGTGTGCATATGACTGTTGGTGCTAAACATCTTCCAGGGCCAACTCAGTGACCCCAAACCACCATTGAAGAATCCCTCCAGGGGCTTACCATAATGCACTGGAAAGGTGACCACTCAGAGGTGGTGCTAGCCCCATACCAGCCCATCAAAGAGTTAACAATACAGCAGCAGAATGAAAAGAGCAGGGCTTCAGCCAAAAGCCAACCTGGGTTCTGGGTGAGGGCCAAGAAGTGGCCTTGAGGATACTGAGCACCAATATTCACCAATTCTGACAAATGCAGAAGGAAGGATATAGAAGGAAATGGAAAAAAGAAAAGAACTGGGAACCCAGAGAACACTTTTAATAGGGCTAGACTGAAAGTGAAAACAAAGTCCCCAAATTTGAAGGAGGTCTGCAGAGGGAGCTCCAAAGCTGTCCCTGGTTGGTACCATGCCCATCATGGGGCAAAAGGACTGCTGGTGCCAGAAGAAAGCTCTTGCTTACCAAGGAGGAGTCTGAGTCCAGGGATGGGACCTGGTCTTTGGCAGCCTCAAGGATGGCATCCCAGGGGGAGCTTGGTGTAGGTGCCACATCTTTGTCTTTGGACGTCATGATGGCCAGGCTCATGGGATGTCCTTTCTGTGTGCCATTATCCAAGGAGCCCTATGAAGCACACAGGAGGCTGCCTTTCCAAAGCTTCTACCAGCTGCAGGACACGGAAACACTCATAGATCTCCACCTCCCACCTGTTTCCTTGTGGTTCAGGAAGCCCATTTACTGGGTGCCAGGGCCTGCGTGCATGTGTGTGTACTACATGTGAATGCTGCAGAGATGTGTATCATAATGATGTATGTATATGAAAATGTACACATACAGACACATACGTGGAAATATTCTCTATAACATAGATACTGTTATTTCTATTTCATAGGCTCAGAGAAGTTAGTAAATGGCAAAAAGAATTTGAATCAAAATTATAAAATTATGCCAGGTGAGCTCGGTGGCACCTGCCTGTAATCCCAGAGGTTTGGGAGACTGAGATAGGAGGATCACAAGTTGAAAGCCAGCTTTAGTAATTTAGCGGGACCCTGTCTCTAAATAAAATAAAAAATTGGCCTGGGGATGTGGTTCAGTGGTTAAGCACCCCCGGGGTTCAATCCCCATACCAAAATAAATAAATAAATAACAATAATAAAATTTAAAGTTAGGGGTAATTTCAAGCCTAATTACTTTACTGCCTCTTTTTGGAATCCCCAACAGATCTAGTTTGGTGTCGCCGCTTGGACCCACCCACTGATTAGCCTCTTTGTATCCTAGAGCCTAAAAGGCCTCGGGTTCCTCAGGAGACAAGGAGCTTTAGGAATGTGGGAGACAGTCTGGGGAACCCCTGTGGCTAAGAGCCGGCTGAGCCTAAGAACTGGTCAGGGCAGCGGCAGGAGACTTGGCTGGGGGCTCCTGGCTTCGTCCGCGTCTGCAAAAGAGGCAGGTGCTCGGTGTGTCCCGAGCCGGGGCGGCAGAGGGGGAGGTCTGCAGCACGCCCCAGCTCGGCCATTCAGGGCTCGGCATTTCCGGGGCAAGTGAGTCGCCGAGGTGAAAGGAGCCACCAGAGGCCGTCACGCTCCTCTGACGGGCAGGCAGAAGGCGTGGGGCATTACCGGCAGAGGTGGGCCGGAGGAGCGGAAAAGCCCAACATGTTTCGGGGGAAGGTGGCAGGTGGGGGCTCTGTGAAGACCGACCCGACCGTGCGGTCCTGTGTCGAAGTCCCGCTGCGTCTAAGGTGGTTCCCAGCGGCAGCCCGTTAGCCCCGCGAGGCGCCGGTTGCCACGGCGACTAGACGCCGCCGCTCCGCGGGGCCAGCCTTCGCCTTCCGACACCCGCGGCCCGTCCCAGCTGCGTCGGTCCAGCCTGCGCCTGCCCCCCGGTGGTCCTGACCCCGCGGGCAGGATCCTCGCATCCGCACCGTGGCGCTGGCACTCGGAGAGCCGGTGGGCGACTAACCGCGTCCCACCCTGCTTCCTGCCCCAGGATTGGCTCCTGGGCCGGCGCAGGGGGCGGAGG